AGTTCACATTTTAACGTGAACCAGCCTCATTTGCAATTCCTGAAACAATCAGTGAAATCAAGCACATTTATCCTTTGAAATTCGCACTCCGCTGAATTTTGTGGCGCAAGTCTCCAGCCAAAACAGGGCACAAAATGTTGGTACAGGTGTGGGGATGCTGAAGTACAACTTCCATCATCCCTGGACATTGGTGTGTGTGTTCACACATGGCAAGGCAGTCAGCTACCAACCACAGGTAGTTTTAGACAATGGTTTCTGAGTCCAACCCAGGTCTCCCATGCCATCGGAAGCTGACCATCCTTGCTGTCTACTTGTAAGTAGATCAGAACGACTATAGAATAGACCAGTTTTGGAGTCACCATGCTTTAGTTTATTTTGTACTCTGTTTGGAAAGTCTGCCTGCTCCCCCCCAAACTTCCTTAAACATTAGAAAGAACTTTCTGATGGTAAGAGCAATTCGACAGTGGAATGGACTACCTTGGAAAGTGAAGGACTCTCCTTCATTGGAGGTTTTTAAACAGAGGTTGGATGGCCATCTGTCGGGAATTCTTTATTGTGAATCCTGCATTGCAGTTGGTGGTCTAGATGACCCTTGGGGGTCCTTGTCAGCTACAATTCTATGACTCTGTGATTCCATACCTTCATTTCTAATAAAGTTTCATAATTTGACCACTGAAATGTGTGCCATTGCCGACCTCAGGATTCTAGAATCCCCATGCGTCTAGATGCTTGGAATCCATGCTACTGAAAGTTGAGCCTTGGAATTGTAAGAGGCCAGCACATTTTCTCTGCTCTGGGAGAGACTTGTGGAATGTTGGCTGCCTCTACACTCTGAGTAAACATCCCTATTCATGACTATGACTTGAGCTGGGGCATTGTTTACGGGGGCAGGGAGTGTTGTTGCTGATATTGATATATATATTTTTGGATCTTTATTTTAGATCTTATTTTTTATGTGAAGAATGTTCAAATGTTCACTGTGTACTTTTTAATGCTTTATTTTTTTATGACTCCTTTTGATATGTTTGTAATTTTTTACATGTGATGAGCCACCTTGAGCATGGTTTTAACTTTGGAAAGGTGCTGTACAAATAAAATGATTGACTGATGAAAAGCCATGATATTCTCTGTAGTGGTGGGGCCATTTGCCTGAGGCTGAGCGAGAGTCTTCACATCATCATCATCATCAGGGGACCAGCAAATCTAAAGTTTGGTCCTTCTACTGGTGCATATCCATTGTCACTTGATGACAACAACAAGTTGGTGTGGATGTGCCACCACAGATGCAACATCTCAGGTTAAATGTTGATGATCACCTCAAATCACTATGGAGTCAGGTCACATGTTCATCAGGTGTACACTTGAACCCAATGGTAGCACAGGCATGTGTGAACCAGGTTAAAGCATCACTCATATCTTACCCACAGTGAGCGGACTATGTTTGCTGCTATGTAGAGGCCAGGAAAGCTGGACCAGCCAGATTTCTCTGCAACACAAACAGTTCCTGGTGGGTTTCCGTGCTGCACTGTGACTCACTCCTTAAATGTTCAAGCAATTCTGACAGCATGTTTGCAGGGGAAACTTGAGCTTATTGGTAGTGAAAATGCAATTGATTTGCTGTAGCTACACATTAAAGCCAAAAGTGCCATTATTGCTAGTGCTGTGCTGCATTTTCGTGAAGGTCGATGCTTGATTTGAAAGCTGCTGTTGACGGTGGCCGGGGCATGGGAGTGTACCATGAACGAAAAACAAAAACCCCACCTTCCAGTTATTCTGCATATCTCTTTGAACCTGTCATTGATCTACCACTTCCCTGTCATTTCATTTCTTTATTACTCAAAAGAGCTCCTTTACTATGTGATCCCAGACAATCAGGGATCAAATAGTTAACCATTTTTAAGACCTGTTGTTATTATTAGAACTTTAAAAAGAAAGAAATGTTAATCATTAATCTCTTCGACAGCAAGAAATGACCCCCCCCCAAAAAAAATCATGTACAACTTTGGTACAATGGTGTCCAGTGTAATAGAATGAAATAAAATGTTAAGTTGGCTATACCTCTAAAGGCAGCTTAAAGGTAAAGGTAAAGGTACCCCTGCCCGTACGGGCCAGTCGTGTCCGACTCTGGGGTTGAGTGCTCATCTCGCTTAAGAGGCCGGGAGCCAGCACTGTCCGCAGACACTTCCGGGTCACGTGGCCAGCGTGACGAAGCTGTTCTGGCGAGCCAGCACAGCGCACGGAAACGCCGTTACCTTCCCGCTATAAAGCGGTACCTATTTATCTACTTGCACTTAGGGGTGCTTTCAAACTGCTAGGTGGGCAGGAGCTGGGACCGAACGACGGGAGCTCACCCCGCCGCGGGGATTCAAACTGCCGACCATACGATCGGCAAGTCCTAGACACTGAGGTTTTACCCACAGCGCCACCCGCATCCCTAAAGGCAGCTTAGCCCATCACTAATAGCTGTGATTCCTGAAGTGGGAGGGGGTAGCAATGGGATGTTCCTAGTTCAAAAAGACCAGGTCATTTGGAATGCCAAAATGCATGGATAAATTTGGGGATGGATAATTCTAAAAAGCATCCCTTGTTGAGGCATATAACTGCTTTTCTAAACCAGGCTTAAATACAAAATATAATTTTGGGTAAGGGTTTTGCTGCTGTTGAGAGGAAATCTTGTTTCTTCATGAGTGTGTAAACAAATAATTACAACAAAGACGAGCAGATTAACGCAAGGTGGGGAGAAATTGCTATTGTGCAAATACCACAAACGACATTGCTGCAAAATGAGCTGCAATTACCCCCTCCTCCCCCCCAAAGAGATGCACAAAGCTATATGTGTTTATACACAGAGATGCATTAAGCGGCAGTGGATTCGACTCAATCTTCTGTTATTTTCTCGGCTGATAAAACAAACAATGAAACATTCCAAATACCAGATGGATTTTCATGACCAAAGGAAAAACAAAACAAGATGTTAATTCTCTTTTAAGGAGAAGAAGAACAATATGTGTTTCTTACAGTCTCACAGAAAGCTCGATCGACTGCAGTTAAGTTGTAGAATAAATCCCTAAGGGTTTTGCTTTGTGAGACGAACACTTTCTTCCTGCTATCACCTCATCCATTCATTTATTTGGTGTAGCTTTGTTTTTATTAAAAATAAAAAGTCTATCCCATGCATGGCCAGTTACAATACAGTTCCCGAAAGCTTGTACACTTGTTGGGCCAGTGTTATAATTTGTGTGGTGGAAGAGCCAGTGTGATGTAGTGGTCCGAGTGTCAGACCATTATGACTTGGAAGACAAGGGTTCAAATCCCCACTAAGCTATGAAGCTTGCTGGGTGACCATGGGCCAGTCACTGCCTCTCAGCCTAATCTAATTCACATGCAACAGATGACCGAGAGGGAGAGAGAGAGAGAACGCACTTGTTTAGTCCTGTTGGCGTGTTCAAGCACTACATTCAGGGGAGTGGCTGGGTGGGTTGATAATGAAGAGTGGATGAACTCTAGCTCCCCTCATCCCTGACCATTGGCATTGCTGACTGGGACTGAAGGGAGATAGGAGTTCAGCTAGTGGTAGCTGGTGTCCAGTCCATTAGGTGCAGTGGAAAAATGCATTGGAGGTGGTTGGACTAGATTATCCTTCGGGTACCTTCCAACTCTACAATTCTGCGACTCCATGATCCTATGAAAATCATGAAATCAACACTGGGTGACACCAGAGCCAATGGCAGGCAGGGCAGACTAATTCTAGTTTTGTCCCCATCTCTTCTAATTTCTACAAAGGCAAAGCTGTGAGGAAACATAGCTACAGAATCTCTGACAGATGGCCATCCCAACCTCTGTTGAAAAACCTCAAATGAAGGAGAGTTCACCACTTTCCAAGGTAGTCCATTCCATTGTCGAACAGCTCTTACCATTGGAAAGTTCTTCCTAATTTTAGGCAGAAACTCACATTTTGTCCTTTGGATCCATTGGTTTGGGTCCTCCCCTCTGGAGCAGCAGAAATCAAGCTTGCCCCATTGTCCATGTTAACAGCCCTTCAGATATCTGAAGATGGCTATCATATTACCTCTCAATCTTCTCTTATTCAGGCTAAACATACCCAATCCCTCAGCGTGGAATATCCACCCTATATGTGGTCCACTGGCCAAGTTTTGGAACTGGGCCAAGGATATACTGAAGATCACAAAGCATCCCAAGGTCATGTTGCTGGTATACAAGGACTACGGCTTCAGCTTTTTGCAGTAACTCCACATCCATCTCTCCATCTGCCAAGATGTGGCCTTGTTTGGAAACACGAAAGCTTCAGGAAATGAAGACGTTGCATTAGCAGCCCTTCAGACAGAGGTTATTGATGGCAGGAATTATTCGTTTAGAAATTATGAGGTACACAAGCGCGGAGTACAATATAACATCAACACATACACCGCGAAAGAAGCTGAACTAAAAGACTACAAATCAGAGGCGTTTCAGTTACAAATTAAAAAGAGCAGGGAGAGTGCCGTGATTAATGGGACTTCTGCAAGAAGTCTGGATATATTCCTAAAAGCCTTGTTCATCCAGAGTTCCTCATCCTGCCATCGGCTGATCTGAAGTATTCCTTGGCTGTCATGAATCAGTGCTGAAAAGTTTGATCAGCTTCCAAAAGGAAATGTATGGATTAAAGGGTGTTTAGGAGCATGATAAATATTAAAGTGGCTCTTTCTATTTCATGTTGAAGCTTTGAAAAAAAGATGCTCTTGTACGATCCATATTTTTAAACACCCAAGCTTTGTTCACACACATTTGTGGGTTTGTTTTGTGTTTTGTTCTGTTTTTTGTAAAGTTGCTCCATTACTTATATCAGAGATGGAGAATTGTTTGTTTTTTCGCCCAAGGTTCGCACCCCTTTGAGGGCAACCCTCCTGAGGACATATGCTATAGAACTATAGGAATTGTAGAGTTGGAAGGGACCCCAAGGAGCCTCTAGTCCAACTCCCTGTGATGCAGGAATATGCAGCTGTCCCATACAGGGATCGAACCTGCAGCCTTGGCATTATCAGCCCCATGCTCTAACCCGCTGAGCTATCTAGTGGTAGGTATGGCCACAGGCCAAGGTTCTGGCTGAGACTAAATAGAGTTGTAGTCCAAAATGTCTGGAGGATAGCAGGATTGAGAAGTCTGCCTCATCCATCTTTCTAAGAGTTTCTGCACCAGATGGACCCTCCTTCCATCTCCCACTTCCTGGTCCAGCCACCATAACAATGTTCTTTGCTATCAGTGCCAGGGGTCAGGTGAACGTCCTTTACAAAGGGGTCATGGACTTTGAAGACAGGATGAAAGGGAGAAACCTGCTAAGAGGAAGGCATGTTTGGCAAACCCTCACCTTGATCAACTCCCACCCGGAAACCTATGTCCCCACTGTGGAAGGACGTTTGGATCCAGAATTGGCCTCCACAGTCACTTACGGACTCACTGGTAGGACCATTTCCATGAAAGACCATCTTACTTGGCTACGAGTGATCGCCAAAGAAGAAGATGACACCAAGTGGATCAATGGTGTCTAGGTTCTGGCATCCCAAGACTAACCCAGTACCTACATAAGCTGCAACCATGGCAGCAGACAGATGGTGCAGCAGGCAGAGGCAGATTTAGGGGAGCACGATCGGTTTGCCCACACTGAGTGCTGAGATGAGAGGGCTCCACAGGGGGTGCTGCAACAATGATGAGCAATGGAAGAAAGAGGCAGGGGGCACCAGTTTTTTGTGTCATGCAGGGCACTGCTGAAATTTTAAAGCCCCAAGTCCACCACTGCAGCAGGACTGCCTGAGGGCAGTGAGAAGGTAAGCTTAAAGGTAAAGGTAAAGGGACCCCTGACCATTAGCTCCAGTCGTGGCCAACTCTGGGGTTGCGGCGCTCATCTCGCTTTACTGGCCGAGGGAGCTGGCGTACAGCTTCCGGGTCATGTGGCCAACATGACTAAGACGCTTCTGGCAAACCAGAGCAGTGCATGGAAACACTGTTTAGCTTCCCACTGGAGCGGTACCTATTTATCTACTTGCACTGTGACGTGCTTTCGAACTGCTAGGTTGGCAGGAGCAGGGACGGAGCAACGGGAGCTCACCCCATCGCGGGGATTCAAACCGCCGACCTTCTGATCGGCAAGTCACCTGCAGCAGAATAGGAGAGGGAACACTGAACTCAACTCCAGAAGAAGTACATGAACGCTCTGCTTCATCTGGGGCAGGGGTGGGGAATCGTTTTCAGCCTGAGGGTCAGATTCCTTTCTTGACAAACATCTGTGGGACACATGCCAGGACACAGTAATGGCCACCAACATGGATGGCTTTCAAAGAGGATTGGGCAAATTCATAGAGGAGGAGGTTATCAATGGCTACTAATCAGGAGGTCTACCCTCTGCCTCCATGGTCAGAGGCAGTAAATGCTCCTGAATGCCTGTAGCTGGAAGCCACAGGAGGGTAGAGGCCTCTTGTGGTCAGGTTCGGCTTGCTGGTTTCCTCTTGGGACATCTGGTTTGCTGCTGGAAGAACAGGATGCTGGGCTAGATGGGCCATTGACCTGACAACTAGGAGAAGATAACTGTATTCTTATGTGAGTAGGGCAAGGTGCAAAAATGACCGAAGAAACAAGTGTAAATGTTACACTGGTATGTTATCTTGTTTTGATTTAAAATGAGAGATTTTGACAACAACAACTAGAAGAACTTGCACCCCACCCCTGAGAGGTTCACTGCAATTTTCTCCTTCCCTTCTCATTGATAGACATGAAATGTTTTATTAAAATTAAAAATAAATGTGCGGGGAATTTGTTTTGGCACAGTACTACAGGGGACACGTTGACACATTTAGACTCCACAGGGTGTTTTCAGTCCCTAAAGATGCAACCTCCTTCTTGTCCTAATGGTGAGCTGTTTCTACAACATAGCCCAGACCTCCGGAAAATCTGCTCCCTCCTTTGCTTTCAGTGCTCAATGCCACATGCTTAATATGCGGTCAGCGTACTTCACACCACAAGCATGACTGACCCATTTAAGCAAGTGTCACATTCAAACGCAGCGCAGTCTTAAAAAGAGGGAGTGAGATCAAGCGTTGTGTGTTTCCTGCCTGGGCAAGGGGAACGCCTCCAGCAGCATCCCAAAAGGGATGAGATGTTATTCTTTGCAATGTGTCTAATTTGAGTAGTCTTGATCAAGAGAAGATGTGCCCTTGCAACTCATTCCGCAAAGGCAGCAGCTTCCCGAAAATTGTCCTGCTTGCTGGCTGCTAAGGCGATGGTTTGCAAAGACAAAGAAGCAAAAAAGGAGCTTTCAAAAAAACTATATAGCAGAAGGTTGGAATGATAAGTAGACACAAGCACCTTCTGGAAGGATAATGTTTGGATCAAATCCTTCTAGTGGGGCACACAAAGAAGTATCCTGGTTGCAGCTGATGGGGTGGTAAAGCCATTGTGCTCATGGCTTCAAAAGATGGTAAGAAGAGCCTGTTGGATTAGACCAATGGCCCATCTAGTCTGGCATCACAGTGGCCAAACCCACAAGCAGGACTGGAGCACAACAGCAATCTCCCCTCCTGTGGTTTCTAGCAACTGGTATTCAGAAGCATTGCTGCCTCTAACCAGGGAAGCAGAGCAGAGCTATTGTGACTAGCAGCCACTGATAGCCGTCTCCTCCACGAATGTATCCAATCCTCTTTTAAAGCCATCCAATTTGGTGGCCCTTCACTGCCTCCTGTGGCAGTGAGTTCCATAGTTCAACGATACCCTGCATGAAGAAGGCCTTTCTTTTAACCATCCAGAGTCTCTTCATTAGATGTCCATGAGTTTTATTGTTATGAAAGAGGGATGAAAACTTTTTTTTTACTGTCCATTTTCTGCATGCCATACATCATTCCATAAACTTCTATCATATCTTCTCTTACTCATCTTTCATCTAAATTATAAAGTCTCAGATACTGCAACCTTTCTTCATAGCAGAATTGCTCCACCGCCCTGACCATTTTAGTTTCTCTTTCTTCAAGCTTTTCCAACTCTACAATATCTTTTTTGAGGTGAAGGAGGTGACCAGAAGTGTACATTGTATTCCATATGCAGTCACACCATAAATTTGCATAATGGCGTTATGATATTGGCAGTTTTATTTTCAATTCATTTTCTAATGATTCCTAACATGGAATTTGCCTTTTTCACAACCAAGGCACACAGGGTCAATGCCTTAATCGAGCTACCTACAATGATACCATGATCTTGTTTTTTGTTAGTCACTTCCAGTTAAGATCCCAAGAGTGTACATTAAAAAAATGCCTCTGCGCATCTCTCATGTCATGAATGTATGCTTCCCCCCCACACACACAGAGTACAATTCAAGGTTTTATTTATTTAAAAGCACTTTAAAACCACTTCATCTTAAAAAAAATCTCTAAGCAGTGCCTAGAACAAAATTGCTATTTAAAAAAAAATTAAATTTTATCTCAAGTTTATCTGTACCCCTTTACATCAGCAAAGCTTGCAAAGTGGTTTGCGGAGACAATTGAGAAAAATAAAATGCAATGAAATATTAACACACACACACACACACACAATAGGATGCTGCTCATTCAGTATCCACACAAATGCCATAACATACAACTTTCCACAAGTACAGTGTAAGAACAATGAAACGGTAGCAGAGGAAAAACAGAGAGACAACTTAAAAACAGGAATGTCAGTCTTCTGGGTCCAATCTCAAACAGGGCTCCAATCTTATGGGTCAGGGAAAGCTTGGGGGAAAAGATACATATTTGCAAGACATGTCTTTGAGATGTGATCTAGACTCGTATCAGTGATGACCATTGTACAGCGGTGTATAACTGCTGACCCCTCCTGGGACAGGAGGGGTCAGCAGTTCTACACCTCCTCTTTGCTGCTGGTATTATGTCATACCGGTTAGATTGTCGGACTAAGACCTGAGATCAGGGTTCAAATCCCCACGTGTCCATGAAGCTCACTTGGCTGTGGCTTTGGGCCAGTCACTACCGCACAGGGTTGTTGTGGGGATCAAAGGAGTGAACCACTTATGTGCGCATCACCTTGAGCTCATTGGAGAAAAAGGCAGGATATCAATGCAGCATATACATAAATAAAACTCTCAGGCTCTGGGGTGACTCCCTGTACCTTCTCCCTGTTCAATAGCCTTGCAGGAGCTTGCAGATCCAGCCTTTGAGGACTGCAGGCAGCTTTCTCAGGGAGCACTCCCATGGCAAGGGCAGGTTCTGACAGCCATCAGGTGACTCTGGTCCGCTGAGACAACATCTTCCAAAGATCCAGCAGGGTTGACTGGGAGCTGTCCATGGTCCTGATTCACCTTACTGGAAGAGACTCTGATCATTGTTACCACTTCCTCCAGGACACACTAAACTCCATCAGAGCAGGGCACAGTGTACCTTATTCCCACCTGACTTCTAGAGTCCCCCCCACCAGCTCCTGCTGTCTTTTGCTAAGCCTTAGCTGTTCCCGTCACTATCTCCTATCTCATTTAATACACCGAATGTCTGCATGTCTCTCATAGCAAAAACTCCCAGCAGCTTTTGCACCTCTAGGGCTGAGGGCTGGGCAGGAAGGTTGCCGAGACTCAATTATTCTCACCCTGGCAGTCGGCATAAATGTCTTGCTTCTAAAATATTTATGCTGCCATGCGATGGAGGCTTGCTGTAAATGGATTACAGGACTTGGGCCCGCTTTATCGAGTCAATAACCAAATGGAATAAGTTTTCTTATCTGTGTGGCTATGGGTTTTTCTCTCCCCCTTTCCTCGCTGTCCCCTTATCGTGCAGAGATTAGAGATTGCAAATGGCCATCAGGGGCCTGAATTCAAATTTTCTTCAAACGGCCACCAAGCTTTGTCACTTACGCAGATAGCATCTGGTTGGCTTTCAACCGCAGTTTGACAATATTAAAACAAGAACAGAGAAAGGGACCCCATTTGGAGTGGGGCATGATATCTCCCCACCTAGCGTGACTAGAAATGGGATTTCTCTTTTCCCCTAATCTGGGTGCAGTACCATCTGCTCCCTCCCCCCGCCCTGCAAACTCACTG